TATAATTTTAATTGCACATCTGTATTTTTTAACTGCACGATGTTTTTTTATCACTATTCTACACGGGAACATTTTATAGTACCCGTGTATAGTAAGAGGATTAGTGGTTCAGTTTTTTCTTCCAGGGCAGTTCTTCTATTCTGTTTTTTCTTACTCAGGGAAAATGACCAGGACATGGATTAAAAGTAAAATTAACAAACAATATCAAACTTAATATTTCTTTCTTGTTTCTTGAACACAATGCAACATCCAAAAATAATGGAGCACTTCATTTTTCTTCCTTCCCCCAAGCAAAACATATACAAATGTTATATTGTGAGGCCAGGCATCTTTTGTTTTATACAATGGTGTGAAATTCTGATTCTTACATGTTCTATGGTTACACTTAAATGCCTCATTATATGATAGTATTTTGTTTAACAAGGATGCTTTCTGTAAGTTGAAAGGTCCAAACCTGAAAATGACACAGTGGAAATGATGGATTGTAAATTTCAGGTTAACGGTTTCAGAATTGAATGGATGGTCATATGTTTTAATGCTCAATTCAAATCTATCATAATGGTGAACAAATACAAATCTGAAAAGAAGTGGTACACAATTGCTCTTCACTGCAATTCTTATATTGATCTATTGTTACTCCTTTACACTTGGAGCCATGTTACATGGGTATTGGCACTTGCATATATTCGTATAACTCATGTAGGAGTATTAGAGATCATACAATATCTTGTTTGATAGGTGGGGCTTTGCTCAGTTTTGTATATGGGTTTCCTCTTCTATTCTCTCTGATTATGCCACATTCAGAAACATGTTTGAAAAGAAGAGTCTGTCTCCTTTATCAAACAAAAATTGATTAGTAGATTTCTGATGTCCCTACAACAAGTGGTCTGAACATTATGTACTGTAAGTGAACATTTGTGTATGGATGAAGGTTATCAAAAGGTTATTATTCCTCTGTGGAAGATATCTTCATGTTGGAAGCCCCAAAGCACAAATTATTAAGGGAGAACAAATTCACTTTAAAATTACATTTAATTTAAACCAGGACCAATAGAAACATAATACAGTGAGGGGCTTGCATTTGTCAAATCTGACATCAGAACAGCTGAGAGAAATGGAGAAGAATATGCACTGGGAGCTAAAACTAACACAAAGAGTTTTTTTTTCACTACTGAAAGTCTGTTAATTGTAGACAATGAAAAAGGAACAACAAGTACTGGTATATTGACCAAATGTTTTCACTGAAGAGAGCTCAGCATCCCTTAGGCTCCATTTGGTTTTGAATAATCTTGACTCTCTGTAGAGTTAACTAATTGGCTGGACCTGATGACCAGGTCCATAAGTCTTTCAGGAAATAAAGAATGTGACAGGTACCCTTAACTGGGATATTTCAAATGACTCGTGTTCCCAGTGAAAAAATGCAGATGATGCATACATTCAGAGGAAAGGCTGAACACTGAACCAGAGACTTTATGCCAGCGACGTTTATATCTCTTTTTGCAAGGTTAGGAAAAAATAAAATCTACATTGGAAGATCATGTTGACTGTTAATAAATATGTCCAGTATAACAAACTGAATCCACATGGATTTAGATAGGGTTGGTTTCATCTGAAAAATGTTAGATATACAGTATTTTAATAGGTTTGAGAGTATCAATAATTTCACCTGAAGAAGGCTCCACGGCCAAAACATTGTGTTTTTTCTTCTTTTTTTCAGCATGGAATAAACCTATTACTTGTTCCTTTACAGGCTAAGCATGCTGACACATCTACCAACCTGAACTAATTGAGTAATTATCATTCAGAGAGAGAGAGTGAGGGAAATAGGAAAGGCTCTGTGTGGAGGTGGCCACGCCCCTGGACTAATTGAGAGGTGTAGAAGAACAGTCAGTAAGAAAAGGGTCTCAGTGTGGGTCTAGATTTCAGGTTGGTAGGAAACAGAGTGAGAGTTCCAAAGGGAGGTTTCAGTGGCAATGGGCTGATTAAGTTAAGAGGCCTTTTGGGTCACAGTGACCTAGAGGCTGGAGAAAATACATCTTAGGCTCTAAGGTGATGTTCTTGCATTGAAATGGCAGGGTGGTGATTGTAATTTGCTGAACAGGTTGATGGTGCAACAGAAAGACTACAAGAGGACATGATCCAAATGCTCCATTCCATTGCCACTAAAGACTTTTGTAGTTGTTTGTTTATTTTTTTAGTCATGGATTTATGCACCTTGTTTTGTGCAGGGCTTATACATTTGAATTCAATGTTGTTGTTTTTTTGAAAATTGGGTGTAAAGTACAGTACTGAAGTCCCTGAAGTTTCCAAGGGTCAGATTGCAATCATTAGA